CTGTTGAAAAATTGAATTATTGAAAAACATACTGTTTCCATCTTAATGGATCTGCTTATATTAGTAAACTTTCAGTTTGTTGGCTCGGTAACTTGGCTTATTACTATACAGTGTGTATGTTTCCAATAAATCAAGGTGCGATTATGGTTACTTGATGAGAAAAGATCTAATATGATTTTGAAAATGTTTCAGCGGGATTTGTTCAAAAAATTGATCAAAAGAAAAAGTAAAAAAAAGATAATTTATTATAAATGTTTATTGGCTAGTTAATTAATCAATGACCACATTTAAGTATAACAAATATTCTTTTCACTTGCTGAACCTTTTGGACTTTTTAAGAAAATATATATACGTGCTGGTGAAAAAATACGAGTTAGCTTCTGACGTATTTCCTAAATTTATACAGAAGCTGCTTAAAGACCATAAATGAAAGACTTCAATTTGAATACGCATCTTTTTTCTGCTGAGTTAACCGGATATTTGCCTAATATTTCCAAACTTTTAAAGAAACGTGTGTCGTACAATACCCAATTATGAACAAGACGTTCCTCATCTAATTGAGCGAGTAGCAGGATATGATCTGCAATAGTTATTTCTGTTTCTTTTATTTAAGTTTCCATCATTTGCTACAACAAGAGAAAATCATATCAATTCAATTTTGTCAACAAACATTATTTAGTTATATGGATAAATAAATGATGAAGAATAACCTGCAAAAATGCAAAGAAAAATAAAAAAATTTGCACATTTATATGCACTATACAGGGCGATTCAAAATTGGCATCATTCCGTTGGAATTCCGTTCCGCACTTGGAGAGTACGGAAAAAATATTGAATTTTTTTCTAAAATTTCTCGGAGATATAACAGGAGAAAATCGAAATTCAACTTTGTTTTTTGCCTTTGTCAATAATAACAAGTATTTGTCAAACTGTGACCTACTTTGAAGCTTTTTTAACAAAATGTACAACCATATCGAATATACGGATATGCTATTGGTTAAGGGGGAATGCCACATTAACATAGCAGAAACTTACGATAACAAAGGGCTAGAGACACTGGAAGGCGATATTCGGGTTCCAGACACAGAGGAACAGGTACTGGAGTTTGAAGCAGAGCCTTCCAGGGGTACTCAGAGCAATGCACAACAACTGATACCTTCCCAGGCATCAAATAAATAGCGAAAAAGGGCTACATTCCTCCTACATATGTAAGATACACAGATCACAAGGACACATTAAACCAATGGTTTGCTGAACACTGGTACAAATTGAGCAGGAGGTAATTAACTGAATATGAGAAGCTGCTCGAGTGGAGTGCACATTATTACAAAGGCACTACCTTGTTTGAAGTTAAAGACGAAAAATTATGTTTATTTGAATACACATGAATTTGAGGTTATGATAAAAATATTGACATTTCGAACAAGTACGTTCCACGTTTAACGAATCCTGTTAAATTTTCTTTTTATCCTTATCTATTTCATTGTCACTTTCTGTATTTTTCGATGATTACCGGGATTTTTAATAATTACGAACCAGCAGCTATTAACGGAATGTTAATTAGGTAGTTTATATTGAAAACCATTCTTTCAATGCTTATGATCTAGTTCTTGGCATATATTTAAATTTTTAATAACAATTTTTTTACATTTTTTTTATACTTGGAAAACATCCCCATACTGCACCTTCAGAGAAATCACGCAAATGTTGAATGTATTTAAAAAGTATGCACTTAAATAATAATCAACAATCCAGGAAATCAATTAACATGGCAAATCAATAAATTCGCGTCGATTGACATTTTTGTCTTACCGAGACACATTTTCTCTCTGAATCCTGAACGAGCCATCGGATTTTACTTTTTTTTGCGTCATTGAATTAATAATTTAATTTTCTTAAATATCTGGTTGGAGAAACCTTTCTAAATTTTTAATTGATGATAGTTGCGGGTGCAGGTCTGACTGTTAAAATGAAATCTACATTTAATTGAAGCTTATCCCTCCTTGTCTATGTCAAAGTATTTTCATCATTTCGTGTAATTCCTCAAATTTGAAACATTGAAGCTGATTTGTTTTGAAATAAAACACTCGCATGCTTATAAGATTAAAGCTTATCTAACTTATATGTTGTTTAGACAAGATAAAAAGTATATTTCTAGGCCTTTTCTCTGAAGCCATAGCGGGTTTTAAAAGGCTATATTATGAGTATACACCCTTAATGCGACAAGCCCCCAAGCGCATAATTATTATACGCTATTCTTAGTACGTATTTGAGTAATTAGACGGGTTCTGCATACAAATTTTAATTGCTTTTTTATTTTCAGTGTGTATGGCCGATGGACTAGAGTGTTGTGGCGGGGCTGAAAAAATGCGATTTATCGATTCATCGACCAAAATGTACGTTTGGGAATGTCCAAGGAACGAGGGGCATTGAGCTTAGCTCATACCGCACTTTGCGGCGTAATGCCTCTCTGAAAAGGTAGGAATTAATTAAAGTTCATTAAATGTGCTTTCGCTAAAAATAGCAGTTTTATTTTACATTCACTCATTGTGCTCGTAAACGAGTTGGCACGGAAAATTAAAATGCTCTAAATTATTCAAACGCTATCACTCGACATGCATAAAAAGTTAGACCGGGAACACCTGGAATTAAACTGATTTAGTAATGATCTCTGCGTTTCATTACAATTTCAGCACTGAGAGTGGATGGGAATTTTCACTCGCTTTGGGATTATTTCACAGCAATTATAACTGCCCAAGCATGGAAATTCAATAAAAAAGCACAGGGTGTCCTACGAAAAGCAGCCAGTATTACCTAGTTACAGCTCCCGTGCTAGATTTTAATAAACCGAACAAACACGTCATGATTGAATTTTTTGAGTTAATAACCAATATTGATTGAACTTTGGCCACCCCGTTTTTGAGTCTAATTTGAAATTTAGAGAAAAATGTTAAATGCAAAAGTTGTAGATATTAACGTCTAGTTTATTTTAAGATAATATCAATTGATACAGAGCGTCTCAAATTCTAGTGGCAAACCAAATTTACCTTTTTTTAACTGGAAGACCATACTTTTTATTTCATATTCAAGCTATTCGTAAAATTCTAGACCTATTCGATATAAACGTTTTATTGCGATTTTCAACTGTTTTTGAGTTAATAACCAATAAAAATCAATATAGAACATTTATATCGAATAGGCCTAGAAAATTACCAATAGCTCGAATATGCAAAAAAAAAAAAATGTATCGCATTCCATTAGAATAAATGTAAGTTTGGTCTGGCATTTGAATTTGCAACACCCCGTAACATTTTTTATTATCTTAAAATATACTTAACTGTCATGTCAACAACTTTTGTATTCAATATGTTTCTCTAAATTTTACATTAGATGTAAAAATAGGGTGGCCAAAGTTCTATCAATAACCCTGTATAAAAGTGAAAATAAAGCCAATATAACCCTACAGGCTTATAAGCCTCTGATTCTTAAAAATACTTGAGATTGGTATATGATTTGTCTTGAACAATTTATGAGTAATTGAAAGATTTTTTTTAACAATCTAAAATTTGCTGATGTTGCACTGGAAATATTGTTGAATATCTCTAAAGCCTTTGGTGGCGAGTAAAACTTTTTTGACAAGCTCAAAACACATTTGAGCTCTACGGAGGTAAAATGATTAAATCGGAGAAACGTTTGGAAGAAGATTTTATTTTTGAATTTCTCTTGAGGACACGCTAATCTCAAACGTGATTAATTACAAGCAAACATTGGTGGTTTTCTCTTCACTGAATATGCAGACAATGCAAACATATTAGTAGGTGATTTAAATGCTCCTGTGCTAATAAAGCACTGAAATTGTGAGTGATATTGGAAGCTTTATAAAGAGAGAAATTACATTGAAATGAAATACGGGACTTCCGCGAAAATTACTTTTGTCAAGTTAAATCATTGCCATCATTTTTAAGCAAAACCAACAAGTTTCTTTCCACTCATTCACCGTTTCAGTTGTATATCCGTTTCTTGTTATGTACATGTTTTTCAATTGGTAAAGTTCGGTGTAGTTGAAAAATATTCAAAATTCGCTATTCCCTTGCTATCTTTGAATAATCGATAAACCCAAAGAAAAATTTATCTTATCGCCAAGGCCTAAAATGAGCTTAACATTGATTCCATATTTAACATTTTCTTAGTCAATTCGAGTAGTTGTAGTTGTCATTGAAAAAAATTCATCCATTCGAAAAATTTGTAGAAATAATACAAAATTTTAAATCAGGAGGTCTTTTTGAGCTTTTGCGCCTTTACCTAATACATAAATAATTTATGAATTTAAAATGTGATCGTGATTAAATGTGAATTTAAAACCGTTTTTAACAGTTTTTCCCTCAAGGAATATTGAAAAATTACAAAATGCACTATTCACTGGTTTAGGATTCCGAAGAATCTTAATTGGATACAAGGAATGATTAAAGTTCCACCGAAAAATCAGTCGATGATTAATCAGCAAACAATAGAAATTTGTTAGTTTTATCAACGCGGCGATATGAATAAATACAATAGTGATTTATTTGGGAATGTCGATTTGCAACTTCCTCAAACGTTTGACATTTGGACCTATTTATTTATTTTGTAAAAATATCAAAGAACTTATTTTTGCGCCACAAAATTTGATCGATGATTTGTATCTGGACTGTTTCAAATTCACATTTCCATATTATAGGGAAATGAGAGTTTATCTGGAAGTTAAATTTGATTTAATATAGGGATTTTATGCAGGGTTGTAAGTCTTGGTATGCTTGTCGCTATGAGCTGTGTGTTGTGCCATTTTAGTTGTACTATTTATATTATATATTTTACTCTAGAAATGCTTATGTATCTAAGGAAAATGCATATATTTAATAGTATGTTTTGAGTTAGCAATCAAATGATTCAATGATTGTATTTAGATGTCTTTACATGTAATATCTTCCGTTACGATATTTCCAAAATTTTGAATCCTATTCACTTTTTACCTACTAGAAAACTACAAATATTTGCTCATTTATTCTTAAATAAGCAGACATTACTTTGCTTCGCTTACATCTGAGTTTGTTTGGTTTTAAATATCTTACCTCATGTTATTTTTCTAGTAGCATATATATTTTTTTACTTAGATTTTTTCTCGCTATTCAGAATTATGAGAGTTCGTATTATAGGCACGTATTCACACAAAACTCGGGTATGAGTAATAAACTACAATTTATATCGTTTTTATGTTTACAGTCGTAAAATGCCGACTGGTTTTTATTAGTATTATATTTATTTATCGAAGTAGATTGATCTATTTTTCACCCCTGTTTCCATTTTAGCC